AAAAAAAAAAAAAAAAAAAACCCTACACATGCACTTACTATAGGACCAGCAACTGCATTCCTGGGCATCTGCCCTAAAGAAATAAAAACTTATGGTCACAGTTTGTTTACACACTTGCCAAATGAAGGACTTCTGGGTTGTACACAAATGTCACAGCAGCACTATTCGTAAAAGGCAAAAACTGGAAACAACACAAACGTTCTTCAACAGGCAAATGGTTAAACTAACTGTGGTACAGCCACACAATAGAATACTATGCAGCAATAAAACGGAACTTTTGATTTACACACCAACTTGGGTGGATCTCAAGGGAATTATGCTGAGTGGAAAAAGACAAAATAGGTGACAGACTGTACGATTCCATTTACAGAACATTCTCAAAATAAACTTATAAAGATGGAGACCAGATGAGTGGTCACCAGAAGTTAGGGTTGGGGGGGGATGGGGGGGATGGCTGGAAAAGAACAGCTTCAGGAGGCTTGTGTTAATGAAGCAGTTCTGTATCTTGATTGCCGGGATAGTTTTACAAATCTACATATGGGATAAAATTGTACAGAACAATACACACACACACACACACACACACACACACACACGTACTTATAAAACCAGTGAAGTAAGTATAAACTGTGGAGACTAACTAGTTTTGACATTGTACTACAGCTATGCAAGATGTTACCATTGGGGACATTGTGTGAAAGGTACACAGACCCCCATTGTACATTTTTTTTTTTTTACAACTGCCTGTGAATCCATAATTCTTTAATATAAAAAATAAACTGTTGCCATTACTTTCAGTTTTCAAGCAATTCATATAAAACATGCCATTCATGTACTTATTTAGAAATTTGCTCTTCTTTATAATTAGGGAAGAAGTGGAGTTCTAATACTAAAAACTTTATTAAAACCTCTTTAGTTCATTTTTCAGGTTTTCTTTTTTTTTTTTTTTTTAATTTTTTTTCAACGTTTATTTATTTTTGGGACAGAGAGAGAGCATGAACGGGCGAGGGGCAGAGAGAGAGGGAGACACAGAATCGAAATACCCAGGCTCTGAGTCGTCAGCCCACGCTGGCTCGAACTCAGACTCATGAGATCGCGGACTGGCTGAAGTCGGACGCTTAACCGACTGCGCCACCCAGGCGCCCCATTTTTCAGGTTTTCAATATGATGCAAGAAAAGATAACCATGCTTTCACAGCATCCTAGAGGAAAAGGACATTGCATAATACCTCATTGAGACAGCATGGGAGACCTAAACATGTTCTCAAGTAGTGTCTGTCGGGGCACCTGGGTGACTCAGTTGGTTAAGTGTCTGACTTCAGCTCAGCTCACGATCTCACAGTTCGTGGGTTCAAGCCCAGGATTGGGCTCTGTGCTGACAGCTCAGAGCCTGGAACCTGCTTCAGGTTCTGTGGCTCCCTCACTCTCTGCCCTCCCCCACTCATGCGCTCTATCTCTTAAAAATGAATACATGTTAAAAAAAATTTTTTTTAAGTAGTGTCTATGTTCTACAGGTCAAATATGGCCCATAGCCTTGTTATGGCCCACAAGAAAATAATTTTTACATCTGTTTAAACTTTATTTATTTGTTTTGAGAGAGGGGTAGGAGGGACAGAGAGAGAGAGAGAGAGAGAGAGAGAGAGAGAGAGAGAGAATTCCAAGCAAGCTCTGCAATGACAGTGCAGGGCTCGAACTCACGAACTGAGAGATCATGACCTGAGCAAAAGTCAAACACTTAACCTACTGAGACACTCAGGTGACCCAGTTTTTACATTTTTAAACGGTTGTGAAAAAAAACAAAGAAAAATATGGACAAAGACCATACATGGCCCATAAAGCCTAAAATATTTATTATCTGGTTCTTTCAGTAAAAGTATACCAATCTCTGCTTTGTGGTATACCTCAATAAATTATATGCCAACCTTAGAAGAAAGTCAAAGTCAGAATTTTTTAAAAATCTTTCCTCTGCTTACACCATCCATTTGCCCTTCATAGAGAAGCCCTCAGCCTAATAACAATTCCCCAATCCTGGACTCTCCTTTGTTAAGAACGTCATTTCAAGACACCGCACTTTAGGCAAGTTTACCGTGGGGAGTGCTTTCTTTAGGGAGCCCAAAGTCCTGAATGAATTCCTGAAATCATGTCCCCATTCAGAAATACAGTGAGCCTCATCCACAGCAATAAGTGTAATACCTATAAAGTGAAAAATATAAAAATGGGGAAAATAAAGTTTAAAAAGAAGCAATAAATTCATCTAAATCAATTATCACCTTTACTTCAAATATATAAATATCACAGAAAGGAAAATAAATAACTCAAATCAAAGTATTTGGTTCATATAAAAATATAAGCATAAACAACATCAGGTAACACCAAAAATCATTATGAAACAGAGGATGGGAGAAACATGGATAAAGGCACATGGATAAAAGAAGGAAACACTGATTCAAACAACATTATTTATTAGATTTCAGCTTTCATCATTATTCCTCAAAGAAATGAATTACTTACTATTAGTTTGTCCTCAAAACTATCACTCATGAACCACTTGCAATGATACTGTCTTAAAAAAGAAGAGCTGCTTTTCTTTCTCTCTCTCTCTTTGGTAATACTTTCAATTTTATCTTATCGATTAGCTATCAAAAGAGACAGAAAGAGCACATTCCTACTGAGATGAAGCACATCATTGTCCATGACTGATCACATATCATACTGCAGAGAGTTCCTCTGAAATGCCAATATTGGAAGACAGGATGACATCCACATTTTCTATTGTAAGATGGTAAGAACTAAATCTCGGTATGTACCATGCAGGTAAAAAGGAACGTAATTTGTTCTTTCCTTCCCTAGCAACCCCTCCACTCTGCCCCCCACCACACACCCACATTGAAACAGAATCAATAGTGTATACTAATACATTTCAGAACAGGCTTTATTGTGTAACCATCCATTAAAATGTCTTTAGATATTTCAAAGTAATGACAGTAGTGCTTTCGCCTTCCATTACCAAATTAATACTTAAGACAAAAATAATTTTGTCCTTCAATGGAGATGATCACCACTTGATACTTATTTGAGTATTAATCATTTTCTGCCATTAGGAGGGCAATTACAAATATGTGTTCTAGAGTCAGACTACCTGGATGCAGAACCTGGCTCCAGCACTAACATTTGTATTAACTTAGACAAGCTACTTAAGTTTCCGATGGTCAATTTCCCACAAATAAAAGGTAGAAAATAATAGTACTTAACATTTTTTACTTACTCTGAAGATTAAATTAGATCATTCACTTAAAATGCTAAGACAGGGCCTGGCATAAAAGCCGAATTAAAAAAAAAACAAAAACAGAACACTAAACTATTACAGTTATTAAATGCCCACTCTGATCCAAACACTCTTCTAGGAAAAGATCAATAAAATGTACTCTGTAACCTTGAGAAGCTCACGATTCCACCCGAGGAGACAGACCAGCAAATAAACAATTATAATTCAGTGAGATTACCAAATAACAACAGAGATGAAAGAGAAAGCAAAACAGTAAACCTACTAAATATGAATACAGGTTGATTAGTATCAAAATTCTCTGGCTGCTACTGTGTAACTGGGAAAAATTCAATGTTACCACTAATTTGGGCTTTAGAAACTAAATGACCCAGATTTTAAATGAAATAGGTTAAAATAAACATGATGGCTCCTCTTTTAAAACCTTCCTTAAAATTATAGGTTTGAAAAAAAAATTATAAATTTGACTAAATACCTCTTCATGGAGCTGAACTTTGTCCCTTACCATCAGTTTTACCAAGCTTTTGCTAACTTTAACTTTATATTTTTTAATGTTTGTTTATTTATTTTTGAGAGAGAGAGAGAGAGAGAGAGTCACAGAGAGGGACACACAATCCCAAACAGGCTCCACACCAGCAGTGCTGAGCACGATGTGGGGCTCAAACTCACAGCCCATGAGATCATGACCTGAGCCAAAACCAAGAGTCAGACACTTGACTGACTGAGCCATCCAGGCGCCCCAACGATTTTTACTTTAAATTTGCAAGTCCAAGTGTCTGCCCAAGTCCTATACATATTTCATTTTGCTTATCTGTCACTCAAGCCTTATTTCTAAAGTCAAAAGACAATTACAAGTGTGTTTGGTTTTAAGGAGTCTCCATATAACATTATGTTTGCTGCTTCTGTTACACATGCATACTACTTAAATAATGTAACATAAAAAGCATAAATCTGATTAGCTAAATGTCAGACTACTGTACAAACAGAATTCTGAGCAGATTCACTTTTGCAAGCATTTTACAATTTCCTGCAAACAAAAGCCAAAGAAAAATCTTTCAAAAAGAATTTATGCCCTTTTGTTCAACATTGAGAGTCAACCAAAACGAGCATTTTCATCCATCCTATGCAGAGTATTCTGCTCTAATGACTGCAGTGTTCATAATTTAATCCATTACAAAAAAATAAAAATAGAGAATCAGAACTAGTTGTCAAAGGATCTAAGCAAATTTTTAAGCTAATAACTAATTAACTCCATCACAGAAACAAAGCAAATATTGAAATGGAACAAAACATATGCAGCTCCCCATGAACACAGATCCAGCTTTTGGTAGAAAACGATAAAATTCCTACACCTAGGGTATTTAGGCTTAATCTGAAGTGAAATATCCTTAAGAGTTCCACACAACTGGATAGAGGACACACCAAATTTGTCTTCCATGAAAGGCAAAAATATGCCAATAAGGAATATGATACTGATAATATCTTTGATAACGTATTTAATCAAATGTTAACTTCTGCCCTCATTCTTTTGTTGGTATTTAATACATACTAAAAAGACACAAATTTGTTTTCATTAAGTTGTTACAAAAATTATTAAATGCATTCCTAGAAGTATATGCTACTAACCATTAAATGAGATGTTGCAATGTTGAAAATTTACCTACCCAGAATTATTTTAATATATAATTATTCAGTGAGACCAAATAATATTAGAAAACTAAGACTGGTTAGTTGAGCTGAATGTTTGCACGATGATTGCAATTCTTGGATAGCTTATTCTAGCCAGCAAGAAGGAAAAAAAGGCAGACAAAAATTTTTAAAGTACAAAAAAAAAAAAAAA